TATGGAAACATTACAATGTTTCAAAGTGGCCTTTGGCTCAGTAGACTGTAGTAAAAACAATGGCATCATCCAGTCTCTGAACTAGACCATCTTTATCAAAAAGAACCTGTCACAGGATAAAGAACTTGTAAGTGTTAACGTCTTTTCACATCCATGTTTTTTGTCGGCCCCACGTCTGGGAAGTATTGTAGCCTTTTTACGTTTTTCAGTCCCCTCCTTATGCCCTTCCCCTAACCACTGAATTAGACTTCTAACACTCTTAAGCTTTGTCTGTTTTTTCCTCGACAGCTTTATTGAGATATAACTCACATACCATGCAAATCACCTATTGAAAGTATACAATTCAGTATCTTTTAGCATAGTTACAGGGTTGTGCAACCATCACTGCAGTCTAATTTTAGAACATTGTCACCGCCCCCCAAAAAGAAACTTCATACCCATTAGTGGTCACTCCCCATTTCTCCCAACCCCCTCGGCCATGTACAACCACTAAATCTACTTTGTCTCTGTAGATGTACCTTTTCTTGAAATTTCACATAAATGAAATCATACAGTATGTGGTCTATTGTGATTGGCTTCTTTCACTTAGCATGATGCTTTCAAGGTACATCCATGTTTTAGCATGCTATTTTTACTGCTGAATTATATTTCATTGTAAGGACACACATACACATATACATGTGTATATATAGATATATAGATATACATAAATTTTGTTTTTGAAACATATGAATATTTAGTACATGTTAAAAACAAAAAACATTAAAAGGAAGAAAAGTGGGTGTACTGAAGCCAGGAACCAAAATCCAGGGTAGAAAGCATCCTTATGGATGGCTCTTTGCACAGCTACAGTTTCTTTTGATTCTAGAAACTGGGCTGGGCTGTGGGGATGGAGCCCCACAGTCATAAAACTCAATATGATGGTTCTGGGGGAAGTTCCAGAAGAGGCTGCCCAACAGGCCAGAGAGGTCAGGCTGGCCAGGAGGGTTGGAACAACACTAGGATGCTTGGAATCAAGTAACTCTCCCCGAGGCCACATCTTGGACAATATGGGCTCTTAACTTTGCAGTTTCCTGAAGCTTCCCTGATACTGGATGGCCAGGCCTGGCTCTGGGAAGGGGAGGAGAGTGTTGGACTGTGATGGCTTTAAGAGTTTGTCTTCCCACTGGCAGGGGATGAAAATAGGTTGTCAGGGGACATAATACCTTGAGAAGGGCGAGAACAGATTTGAGGGCTACCTTTTTGTATTCTATTCTTGGAACAGGAAAGGGGAACTTCCCCCTCAAAAAGAGTGTGAGAACCCAGGAAGTGTGTTTGATGTCTGCAAAAAAATGGGACAGAATCCTCGTTCCTTGCTCTATTCTCAGGGAGCATGCACAGTGTCTTTCTTGACAGTTTCCTGTTCCATTTCCACCATTTATACAAAAGCAGTAAAATGAGCTTGCAAGGTAAATAACGAGTACCCTGGAGCAGCATCTCACACACCAGCCTGTTATCTGAGATAAATTTCAGAGCACACAGCTGGACAGCGATGGGGAGAGGATTTTCTAATACATATGTAAAAACAGTGAAAGTAAAATGTTAATGTTGAAATGTTTTATATGGGAGTAAAATGTTAATGTTAAAATGTTTTATATGGTAAATGCCGTCTTCCTCTTAAGAGAGTAAATTTCCTTGAGAACTGGGTCTCATTTATAGCACCTAGAAATTATAACGCCAAACTAGCCAGCATTTACTGAGGACACTGTGGCAGGCACTGTGCTGAGTTTTGTTTAATATATAGACACAGTACTTAGCTGTAGTTACTCAGTAAATATTTATCAAAGAGCTTGAAAAAAAACTATCAAAGACAGTCAAGAAGAGAAAACTGGGGACTTCCCTAGTAGTGCAGTGGTTAAGAATCCGCCTGCCAATGCAGGGAACACGGGTTCAAGCCCTGGTCTGGGAAGATCCCACATGCCCCGGAGCAACTAAGCCCGTGTGCCACAACTGCTGAGCCTGCAGTCTAGAGCCTGTGAGCCACAACTACTGAAGCCCCCGCGCCTAGAGCCCGTGCTCCACAACAAGAGAAGACACCACAGTGAGAAGCCCACGCACCCCAAAGAAGAGTAGCCCCTGCTCATCGCAACTAGAGAAAGCCTGCGTACAGCAACGAAGACCCAACGCAGCCAAAAATAATAAACAAATAAAATAAAATAAAATTTATTTAAAAAAAAAACTGCAGAACAACATTCCTCATGAATATAAGCCCAAAGATCCTTAAAAAAATTGTAGAAAATTGAACTTAACAATATATAAAAAAAGACTAACATTGTAACCAAGTGAGGTTTATCCCAGAAATGCAAAGATGGTTAAGTTTTGGAAAACTATTCAAAGTAATTCACCATAGTCACAGAATAAAGGAGAAAAATCAAACGATTATCATCCTAATAGATGCAGAAAAAATGTTCAACAGGCTTCAATCTCCTTTTATGATTTAAAGAGAAAAAAAAAACACTTCAGGAAAGAAGGTAGATAGGAGAATTCTTCCCTCTATCAGATGAAGAGTATCTACTGAAAAATCTAGACATCATACTTAATTGTGAAAGACTGAATGCTTTCCTCCTAACATTGGGAACAAGCTAGAGTTGCTCATTTCACCATTTTTATTCAGTGTTCTACTAGAAATTCTAGTGTAAAATAGTCCTTGTTAGTGATATAAGGAAAAAAAAAAAGGCATACAGGGCTTCTCTAGTGGCGCAGTGGTTGAGAGTCTGCCTGCCGATGCCGGGGACACGGGTTCGTGCCCCGGTCCGGGAAGTTCCCACATGCTGCGGAGCAGCTAGGCCCATGAGCCATGGCCGCGGAGTCTGTGCTCCACAACAGGAGAGGCCACAACAGTGAGAGGCCCGCGTACCTCAAAAAAAAAAAAAAAGAGGTAGTGGGGAAAGTCAGTATATATGTGATTTTGGTGAAGGGGGAGTACATGCAATCAAGCACATATTTTTTGCAGAAGTTTTCTGCTAGTCTCGTGAAGATTACTGCTAGTCACGAGGAGCAGACGTCACCATGAAGGATTTTAGTGCTTTTCTAGATTTGAGGAGATGCAAGAATTGGGCTCATAAAATTGTCTCCTGAAAATATCTATCTGAAGACCTGTTTTGCCAGTTTTTCCCAGAGCACAGAGTGCCTCATTCCTGATCTCCAGCCTAACTCCTTTCAATGGGTGTTGAAGGTCAGCAGCTGCTGACTTTCATAATTTGATCCTTGTAGAGGTAGATGGCAAATGCCAATTTGTAGGCGACATCTTTAATCCTAGGCTTCTTCACAGCATCATGAAGCATTCTAAGATGGTTAAGATGGAAATTCAAGGCCTCTTGAAGTCTAGACGTAACTTGCACAGTATCACTTCTGCCACAATCTGTTGGCGAAAGTAAGTAACAAAGCAAGCCAACATTCAAGGTGAGGAAGAGACTCCACGTCTGGGCAGGAGGGAATCTGCATTTTCTTTTTGTTTTTTGGCTGTGCCACGTGGCTTGCAGGATCTTCACGTTCAGGGATCGAACCTGGGCCCCGGAGTGAAAGCGCCAGGTCCTAACCACTGGACCGACAGGGAATTCCCAGGAATCTACATTTTTAACATAGCCTTCTCGGTTGACTCACGCACACCGGGGTTAAGTGTGAATTGTTCATTTCACATATATGTGTACAGAGCTGTGTCCCTTTGTATTTGCTACAAATCTCTATTGCTAGCACTTAAATTTATATATATGTAAATGTTTTGTTTCTTTCAGAAATTTCTGAAATAGTAATGTGCTTAGGTACTATATGGAGATAGAATCACCGGAGCTCATAATGGTAGCAGTTTGTGAAAAAGAAGGAATTTCATGACCTTGAAAGGTGAGTAGGCACTGGAAGGAAGGGGGGTATCTTAAGTGGGTGGACCTGGCATGATCACAGATGTGGGCTTATACCAGTAGGTTTAGGGGTCAGTGGCTGGTGCACAAGACTTAAAGGGAATGGTGGAAATGGTTGGGGATGGATTATGGGTATGGGAGAGTGACACGATGAAAATGACATCTCGCCATGACCAGTTTGTACGTTGCAATGGCAGTTAAAAATAAATAGCTAACAACACTGCATAGAAACCAAACTCATAATTCGAAAATGCTGGAACCTCTAGCCAGCGACAGTTGAGGCGAATACTATTTTAGAACACAGAGAAACGAAAACAGTGTACATTGTCCTGATCACTGAAGAATTCGCTTAAAAATCAGATCCCCCCCACACACATTCCGCCCTGATCGTTATTAAGATAAAACTGACATACAACAAAATCAGATTCTTAGTAGTGGCACAAACTTGGGATACTACATATCGTACCCCCAATCACTTTCTCTAGGCCTCGGCCCACCGCCTGTTATTTATGTATTGATTACTATATGCCAAGCGCTCTGCATATATGTGTATACACTCTCTGTCACTTAATCGGCCAGATTTCTCTACAGGGTAGAGTGTATCATGCCCATTTTACTGGTGAGGAGGAGACTGAGCCTAAAAATGGATTTGCCATATCGCAGCCTGGAGGCTGCAAAAATGTAAAGCTGGGGCTGGAACAGAGGCTGCGCCGGAAGTGGGCGGGGAAACGAGTTCCGCGTGATTCAGGAGGGATCCACGGCAGAGGGAAGGGAAACGTGAAAATGGTGATTCGGCCGCATCTTCCAGAATTCTGCAGGCCCCTACGACAAGTGAAGAAACTTCTCTTTCAGACGACGTGTCTCGCTTAGGCGCCTTTCCAAAATCACGGTATCTGATTGGTGAGATTGGAGGAGATGGATGGTCCTGATTGGTAAGTTGGACCTCGAACCAGGCTTACGCCCCTAGGATCGGGCGAGGAGTGGGTGGGATTTGAAATTGAATCCCCCGTTTCATTGGTGAAAAGAAAACGAACCAGGAACTATTAGGAAGCGTAATTGGCTGTTGCCAGGAGCCTCCGCTGGCCTTATGGGCCCGGGTTACGGAAGCCGGGGAGGACTGAGCGTGAGGTCTACCTGCAGGAAGTTGGCAACGGAAACCGGGATAGCGGTAGAGAAGAGGTACCTCAGGCCCGATGGAGACTGTGGAAGCAAGTGGCAGCGATGGGAAAGGGCGAGGGGTCGAGACCTCCGTCACGTATTACCGATTGGAGGAGGTGGCGAAACGCAACTCCCCGAAGGAGATTTGGCTGGTGATCCACGGGCGAGTCTACGATGTCACCCGCTTCCTTAACGAGGTGGGGCCCGGGTGGTGGGCGGCCCCTGGGAGCTGCAGCGGCGAGGGTGGTCGGGCCCGGAAACGCTGCTAGGGTGTGTATGGGAGGGAAGTGAGGCCTGGCTGAGGGCGAAGAGGCGTACGGAAGGGAGCACGACACTCCGAGACGGAGATGGGGGGGCCTTAGGTGTGCATGCATTTCCAGCCGTCACTAAACTCTCGTGCCTTGAGTCACATATTGAGCACTTACGACGTGCTTGGCTAAACTCTGAGTCACCATTATGCCCACTTTACGGAAAGGGAAACTGAGACTCAGGGTCTCTCACCTAACAACCTAGAGCCATTCGAACCCAGGTCTGAAAGCTCCAAACCTCTGCCCTTTACACTATGCCTTCTGAAGTAATATCATTTTTTGCTTTTCATTTTCTCGAGAAGCTGAGATGCCTCCTCCTTTCCCCCCATTATGCTGCCTTTCTTTTTTCTATTTTGAGTTGACCTTGAGTCCAGAGGTTATGAGTTGATTTTTTTTTTTTTTTTTGGCCATTGACTCAGGTTCTGTCACCCTCTTTTGTAAATCAAGCCTGTTGTATTAGGGTTTTTTTTTTTTTGTATTAGGTTTTACAAGTTCTCAAGACCCTGATACAACTGAGTGATTGTTTTGTTTTCAAGGAAACAGACTTTCAATTTGTTTAACTCTACTGAGGTGTAATTTACATACAATAAATTGTGCTTATTTAAAATGTACAGTTTGATGAGTTTTGCCAAATGTATTCACCCATGTAATCACAACTTCAATTAAGAAAGAGTGTTTTCATCACCCTAAAAAGTTCCCTCTTGCTTTTTTGCAGTCATTCCCCTCACTCCCAATCCCTCAGGGTTTAGGATATTTTAAATGCTTATTTATTTATTTATGGTGTGTATTATTTTATTTTGAGTAATAGATTAATAATCTTATGGTTAATTCCTTGTAAGTTCTTGCATAATATAATCCTGCTGTAACTGAGAAAAAGTTTAATTTCGCTTCATTCTCTTTCTGGAGCAAATGTACTAGCAAAATTTGTTTTCTACTAATTTGGGGCTTACGGGATAAAGCTCTACATCCTGATTCATAAATCTATAAAAACTTTTAAAACGTAAAATTTCCCAAAAAGAATATTGTTTCATTTTATTATTACTTTTTTAAATAAATTTTTTAAAAAATTTATTTATTTTTGGCTGCGTTGGGCCTTTGTTGCTGTTCGCGGGCTTTCTCTAGTTGAGGAGAGCGGAGGCTACTCTTCCTTGCGGTGCATGGGCTTCTCATTGTGGTGGCTTCTCTTGTTGCGGAGTACAGGCTCTAGGCGCGTGGACTTCAGTAGTTGTGGCTCGCGGCCTCTAGAGAACAGGTTCAGTAGTTGTGGCGCTCGGGCTTAGTTGCTCCACAGCACGTGGGATCTTCCCCAACCAGGGCTCAAACCTTTGTTCCCTGCATTGGCCGGCGGGTTCTTAACCACTGCGCTACCAGGGAAGTCCCTTTTATTTTTGGTCCCCCCCTTTTTTTTTTTTAAGGACATTGTTTTAAATAAATCTTTCTAGTGGACAATAAGGTAACATCTTAGAATTTAGTAACTTCTTGTATTTGTAGAGCGTATGGCATTTATGCTTTTAAAAGTGCTTTCCCGTTATTTCAGCCTCAAATTAGCTAGTTGAGAGTGAGTTGGATAGTAGTGAACCTTATTTTAACAGGGATATAAGAAACCGGTTCAGAGAGATTTTGGTCAGACAGTTGATTAGTGGCAGGGCGTGCTTTAGATAAATACCTTGGTTTCTCTTGTCTACACAGTATTACTTTGGAATTCTAGACTTAGCTATGTCCTTTGATGTATGCCTCATAATAAGTTTCAAGTGTGGCTTGTAGCATGCCTGGTAAAGCATAGTTCATAATGGGCCAGTAATGTTTTTCATTTGTGGTTTCATTTCCCCCCCAGTTTCTTCTTGATTGATTCAGAATAGATAATGAACTTGGAAGGAACACTTAGTGCGTGTAGTGGACATGAGTTTAATCTTTAATAGTGGTTCCCAGCCTGGTTTACCACATGCTGATGGAGCCAGAGACATCACAGGTGTGCCAGGGGCGGCCCTTCAAGCTTGAGTTGCCAATCTTTACCTGTAGTTAGCCATTCTAACTTACCTGTTCCAGCATCTCTGTCCCTGTGTTCTTCTTCACTCCAAGTCTAGTCATTCATTCACTTACTCATTCAAATATTTATCAAGCGTCTACTAAGTGCCAGATACTGTTCTAGGTGCTGAGGATGCAGCAGCGGAGAGTTAAGCATTTATGCCCTCATGGAGATTACCATCTATGGGAGGCAGAAAATAAGCAGAGTAAATAACTAAAATATATGCTATGTTAAGTGCTAAGGAGAAAAATAAAGCAGGGAAGAGGTCTGTGGACATGTATGGGGTGAGGGCGTGAAGATGAGGGGTTGAAATTTTAGGTATGATGGCCAGAAATAGCTTGATTAAGAAGAGGACTAGAGTAAAGGCTTTCTGTTAAGGGAGCCGGCCATGTGGATATCTGCAGGAAGAGCTTTCCTGGCAGAGGGAGCAAGTTCAAAGGCCTTGAGGTGTAAGTATATCTAGTGTGTTTGACGAACAGTGAGGGAGGTTATGGTAGCTGGAGAGTATTAGATGAGGTCAGTATGATCAAGGAGGGGACAGGTCAAGTATAGCTTTTGTGAACCTCTGTTTAGAAAGAAAATCACATAAAAATGGTTACAATATCTTATGACATTGACTAGAACATATCAAAGTGCATCTCTCTTAGCAAGGGTAAGTATGATTTTGTAAACCTTTGTTCACAAAGCATGTTTTTGTGAACCTTTGTTTCAGTTAATATTCTTGTTTTCTTACTGTATCACAAGTGAGAAAAGTTTGGAAGCCATTGTTTTATGTATAATTAACCATTTCTGAAAAGAGTAACAACACGTAGTGCTGTTTTAAAGCTTTCTATGTATTTTTTAGTGACTGTTGGCATAAGTGGGAATACTAGGTTGGAGGGAAAAACAATACAGAAGGAAAGAAAGTAAAACTCTTTAAACCCCAAGAATTTGTTTGAATCCTTCTACATCGTCCACGCATACACCAATGTATACAGATATGTATAAGTAGAAATGGAATCATAGTATTCCTTAATTGAATTATAGTGTCTATTAATTGATTTGGTTTAATAGTAATAGTATTTCTTGGGTGCTTATTATTCTGGTGGCTTACATGTAATTTCTTTTTTAACCCTTCTAACAACCCATTTTAGAGATTAGAAAGCTGAGGAGCAGAGAAATAACTTTCACAAAGTCATAATGTTAAGTGGTACAGGTGGAGTTTGAACTCAGGCAGTCTGACCAGATAACCTATGCCCACTACATTAGAATTTGCCTCAGTTTTTTTTCATGGCTATAGAGTATGGAATTAGGTCTGTTTTACAACCAGCTTCTTCCACATCTTAGATATAATTTGGAAGGATTGGGAATGTGATAGAGGGAAGTTAGAATTAGTACCTTTTTTCTGGAACACAGATAATTTTTTCATTTTTTGAATAGGTCATACGGGTACGTTGTGAAAAGCCTTCCTCCCATCTGCCCAGTTCGACCTCCTCCTAAAGTTAGCTACTGCTGTTTGTGAATCCTTCCAGAGTTTTGTTTTGCATGTACAAGCAAAAGTGAATGTAGTTCCTCCCACTTTTTTTTTTTCACCCATAAGGTAACAGCATACAATACCTGCTGAAATATGCCTTGCTTTTTTCATGTAACTGTATATCTCAGGAGTCTTTCCATATCCATACCTGGAATACTTCTTTATTCTTCATAGAATTTGTTGGACTGATTATAATTTGTTTAAGCAGTCTCATATTTATAAACATTTGGGTTGTTAGTAATATTTTGCCATCTAAGTTTTTCCCCCGCCTAAGTCAACTCTATTGAGATCTAATGTACATATAATAAAATGTATAGATTTTATATGTGGAGTTCAGTGAGCTTTGAAAAATGTCTCATCTGTGTAATCACCATCACAATCACTGTATAGAACATTTCTACCATCTATGTTCCCGTACAACCACTGATTTGATTTCTAACACTGCAGACCCGTATGTGTTCTTATTTGTCTAACATCTTTCGCTTAACATATCTGTGAGATTCATCTATATTTTTTCTGTGTATCTGCAATTTATTCCTATTTAGTGCTTCTAATTTCATTGTAACCATACTAAAATTTAGCTATTTGCCTGTTGATTGACACTTGGGTTGTTTCCAGTTTTTGGCTATTATGAATAAACCTGCTTTGTACTTTCACGTACAAATCTTTTTTTTTTTTTTTTTGCGGTACGCGGGCCTCACTGCTGTGGCCTCTCCCGTTGCGGAGCACAGGCTCCGGACGCACAGGCTCAGCGGCCATGGCTCATGGGCCCAGCCGCTCCGCGGCATGTGGGATCCTCCCGGACTGGGGCACGAACCCGTGTCCCCTGCATCGGCAGACGGACTCTCAACCACTGTGCCACCAGGGAAGCCCACGTACAAATCTTTGTGTGGACATATGTTTTCATTCCTCTTGGGTAAATAGCTAGGAGTGAGATTGCTGGGTCATATTTTTTTGTTTTTGTCTTTGTTTTACTTTTTAAGCAACTGCCAGACCTTTTCCCAGTCGCACCAGCAATACATTAGTTTTCCAGTTTCTCCACATCCTCATTGACACATGTTTTGTCAGTGATTTACTTTTAACCACTCTAATGGATGTGTGCTGATATATAATAATGGTTTTAACTTACATTTGCCTGATGACTAATGATGTTGAGTATCTTCATGGGCTAATTGGCCATTTGCATGTCTTGTAAAGTGTCTGTTCAGTCTTGCTCATTTTTAATTGGTTTGTTTTCTTATTATTGACTTGAAAGCAGTCTTTATATATTTTGGATGCAAGTCCTTTCAGAAATATGCATTGCGAGTATTTTCTCACAGTCTGTATTTTGCCTTTACATTTTCTTAAGTG